ACCCTTTCAAATTCAAATTAGCTATAACGTATTGTAATCCAACCATTAATTTAAGGCAATTAGAGCTGTCAAATTACTACTGTACAGGGTGTCTCAAAAAAACCCAAAATCATTGAAATTGACGTATTGTTCGATATTCAATGCCCTAGCACTAAGTTAATCCCACGAGTGCATAAAAGATTGACATAACTGCTATAATGAATGGTAATACTCAGCGTAAACTTGTTATGTCAGGCATAAAGTACTAAACCCACGAATGCATATTACGCATATTACAATTTACGAAGCATTTTAAATTCCCATGAGCAAACAAACGTTCACTTTACAAAGATATTTTAATTTTTTAAAACAAATTAATCACCCTGTCAAAATCCTTTGTGTTACGGCATTGAAATTCGAACAATACGTTATTTCAATGATTTTGTTTTTTTTTGAGACACCCTGTACAATACGTTATAGCTAATTTGAATTTGAAAGGGTTCAGTTTTTTTATACACACTGTATGATGCTTCACTAGTTTTAATTTGTTCAGCATAGCACGCATATTTAAGACGTTATTTACTTGTAAACACTGTCTCTGATGATGTCGCAGACGACGAAACTTTTAGGATTTTATTTTATATAATATGTCTTACACTCTCACACTCTTACTGTTTAATGTAAATTTGATTATTAAGTTTCTGACATAACGACATTGCAACCAAAGGTTGAAATACGTCGAAATTAAATTAATATTACAGGTGATTAGAATTTATGTATGACTAATTCTTTTTATAACAATTAATTAACATTTAAGATTATATAAAAAGTGTCACAAACATTAAATATCGATGTAGGAAGTTTTATAATTGACAGTTTTCGTCTGTGTATAACACAAATACGACACGGTATAGTGGTATTTTTAAGGTTAAGGCTTGTCTCAAACGTGGTGCTTCTCATGTGCCGAACGCATTAGTTAGCATGCACAACTCAACGGAAACGAACGAATATTCAGTTATGTTAATAAGGATAGCTTATTTTATATATCAAGATTACAATTAAACATGCATATATCAAAACATATATAGTTATTATTTAGCAAATGGCTATAAATTGAATAAAAACTATACCGAAGTTTTATATAGTCTTTGGGATGCATGTGTTATTTGGTTTTAGGCATACACATACTTTTTGACATTCTCTGTATGAATAGTGAATATAGCCTACGGTGTAGACCCCAACGTGTTTCTGTTGGGGTCTACACCGTAGGCTATAGTGAATAGCGATGCATATTGCACTTTTGCATGCTGCCCCTCTTGCCTTTTGCTAGGGGGGCAGAAGTGCCCTTTTAGTTGCAAAATACTACCCGATAAATCACATTTCCAGTGATGCTTTTTCGGGCAAAATCATGAGATTCAGGTAATGTATAGGCCCAGAGAAAGTTAATTTACAAAAATAAGTGTGAATTTGGAAAAGAATGAGGTTAATTTACAAAAATTTTAGAAAATTTTTGGATTTTAGAAAAAAAATTCGGATAAATAGAGAAAAGGGAGGTCGCCCAAAAAAAGATTTAAATTAATGTAAAAATTAAATTCCAGGTAAATTTCGAACTTTTGATCTGTAGAGGTGCCCTTTAGTGTGCGTCTGCCCCCCTTTGCCTTTTTATCGTTCCGGCGTCCCTGGCTGTCAGCTGTCTCAACCAATGAGAATTAGCTCGTTTGTTACGGGGAACGGTATGTGATTATAATATTCGTTCAATGTCAGACGATAGTTCATGATGCTGTCTCTACCAATGAGCAGGCCAGTTTCTATGCATTTCGACGAATAGATCGTTCGTTTAATGAGGCTATATACGTTCGTTTTCGTTGAGTTGTGCATGTTAACTATTAGAAACAAGAGATAATAGGGCATTTCATCTGATTATCTATTGTATTTAATGCGTTCGGCACATGAGAAGCGCGACGCCACGTTTGAAACAGGCCTTAGGTCTGTTCTAAACGTCGCATTTTACATGTGCAGAATGCATTAAAAACAATAGAGAATCATCTGAAATGCCTCATTATCCATTGTTTTGAATGCATTCGGCGCATGTAAAATACGACGTTTAGAACAGGCTTAAGGCCCGTTTTATACGTTGAATTTTGATCGCGTCGAACGCAATTAAGACAATAGATGAGATGATAAACCTCATTAAGCTTCATTATCTATTGTTTGAATTTCATTCGACGCGACGGAAATTCGACGTATAAAACAGGCCTAACAATTGTAAATCATGATCAGTTTGGAAATCTATAAAGTCATTTAAATGGCCTCGATGATAAATGAAAGTGGTATATATAGTTTTGTCATTTCAAAACTTGTTGCACATATAGGCTTACAATTTATATACAATGTGTCCCCCAAAAAAGGCTACCCTTTGAAGTCAAGCGCTAGTGCCGCCTGTTCGAATTTGAATGCAAAATTAACTCCCTAATGAGCCCTGGAATGCGTAAAACGTTATAGCAGAGGATCGTGACTAAAACACCACACGAGTACATACGAGTAACATACGAGTAACACACAAGTACATACGAGTACATACGAGTAACATACGAGTACATACGAGTAACACACGAGTAACATACGAGTACACACGAGTAACATACGAGTACACACGAGTAACATACGAGTAAATACGAGTACATACGAGTAAAATACGAGTAAAATACGAGAATTAGCACGCTTTCTTTAAAGTTTCTTTCACTTTCACACTTTCACTTTGGCTTCGTATTATGTTCATGTTGTAAATGCCTTATTGACATAGGCGTACGAGACAGGGGGCGGGGGGGGGGGGCAACTGCCCCCAAAATTTTGGAAAACCATGGAAATTCGGGCAAACGCTAGGAAAAATCAAGAAAATTCGGGCAGATTTATGAGAAAATATGTTAAAATCAGATTATTTCTTTAAAATTCTCCATAAAAATTCGGGCAAACTTTCAACTCTCCCCCCCCCCCCAGAAAACATCAGCCCCGTTCTCCTATGTGTTTTGCAAATTTAATACGTCAATTGTACACCTGTTAATACGTTTTCAACAGGGAAATATAAAATGCTTAGGGTTCATTATTTATCGGTTGGGGGGGCGGGGGCTGGTAAAATAATGGGGGGATATATTTTATGGGTGTAAAATAAAAAGAGTGGTTTAAATCTTTTGAAGAAGTGTTTTGGGGAGACAATAAAATTTTATAGCATTGATATAAAGAAGATAGTATAGAGATAGTGGCGTAGCCAGCGTAAAAGACGTGAGCCATTTTAGGGGAGGTCTGGGGCATGCTCCCCAGAATATTTTGAAATCTAGGGTCCCTGAAATGCGATTTCCTACATTTTCGGGGTGTGAGTTTGCATAAGTCCGAAGACTGTATAATGCATAAAAGATATGATTTTTTGTGATGGAAAATGATGGGTTAAAATAATGCGAATTACTTTTAAAACCGAATGATGATTGAAAGTAAATATATTTTACATTTAAAAACCCAAAGTAAACCCTTTTTTCTTGGGGCCATATCTACTTACTTAGACAAGATTATACACAATTATATTGTGGATTTGGATTTTATTTAACCCCCCCCCCCCGTTGGCTAAATCCTTAAACCTTTTTAGAGTCTTAGAACATACAAATCTTTATTCTATATTAATGAATTACTTTTTCTACGTCGTGCGAGGCTTCGAAACCATCAATACGCATAGGAGAACGGGGCTGATGTTTTCTTGGGGGGGGGGGTTGAAAGTTTGCCTGAATTTTTATGGAGAATTGTCAAGAAATAACCTGATTTTAACATATTTTCTCATAAATCTGCCCGAATTTTCTTGATTTTTCCTAGCGTACGTTTGCCAGAATTTCCATGGTTTTCCAAAATTTTGGGGGTAGTTCCCCCCCCCCCCCGCGTCTCGTACGCCTATATCAATAAGGCATTTACAACATGAACATAATACGAAGCCAAAGTGAAAGTGTGAAAGTGAAAGAAACTTTAAAGAAAGCGTGCTAATTCTCGTATTTTACTCGTATGTACTCGTATTTTACTCGTATGTACTCGTATTTACTCGTGTGTACTCGTATGTTACTTGTATGTTACTCGTGTGTTACTCGTATGTACTCGTATGTACTCGTATGTTACTCGCCTGTAGTTGTGTGTTACTCGTATGTTACTCGTATGTACTCGTGTGGTGTTTTAGTCACGATCTGTTTCCTGACCTTTTAGCACTGTCACAGTGTTTTACAAAATTATTCAGCGTTCTTTTAATTTTGTCTTTATAACGGCCGGTGAAATGCATGGGGATCTAGGGGCAGGGCTTTTTTGCTGACCAATCAATCGCAGGAGCAAAAAGCCCTGCATGAGTACGAGGTTAAATGAAAGCATACCATACATTTAGTTCTCAGTAATATATATAGTATTAACGTGTTATATAAATGACGTTAACAATTTAAGAAACGAATCATTGTTGCTGACAGTGACAATGCATATTATACTAATACACTTCTCAGATATTCGGCAAGTACTTATTAATTAAAGTTGCTTACCTGAAAACCTATACTTCACGCATGCTTGCTGCAAATCCAATCCGCAAAAACCCTAAAGCCACTCGCGACAAAATAACAGGCGTACGTGAAGTATGCACAAGGCCAATGTATACTTGGCGCGGGTCTTTAACTTAGCAGCGGGGAATTCACGTCTCCATGCGAGCAAGACAATTCCGTCACAACTTCGTTATAGGAAACTATGAATGCAAGTACGAATTAAATAAGATAACTTTCTAATTTAAATTAACATTTGTAATTTTATAGTATCATATCATTTTTCATTGTTTTGTATGTTACTGATTAAAATAGTTACTTCATGTTTACCGAATGTTAATTCAGCTATTTACTCCACATGGCACTCTCCGATAATTCATGCTGTGCTCGACGTAACGCAACATTTGTTTTTAACAGTACTTCGCCATATATTGCACAATATACCACAATTTTCAAAACAATATCTAATCATTTGTCTATTTGCTTTCTTAACAGAAACATTGAATTGCTTTGATGACAAACACAAGTGCTATGTCTGGATTGGAAAATCATACTTCAACTACACTTGCAAGCCGTGAACCGACGAGTATAGGAGATGTGACGACGAGTATAGGAGATGTGACTTGGTTTCGAGTATTGAAGTACACCCTGTATGGATTAATGTTTTTGATTAGTTTGCCAGGAAATTTGATGGTTTGTGTGATTATAACCCGACGAAGGAAAATGAAAACAATCACAAATTTCTTAATCCTTAACCTCGCTATTTCAGATGTTTTATATACTTTATACGTTCCCCTCGACATTGTGATCAGTGAAACAACGATATGGCCGTACGCTCATTTCTTTTGTAATCTATTTTACCCACTAATGACACTGTCTATTTGTGTGTCTGCCTTTACATTGATGGCGCTGGCGTTGTCACGTTTTTGGGCTGTCGTGTTTCCCCTGCGTCGTCAAATATCGATTATTCAAGTTAAAATATCACTCGTAGTTATTTGGTTGTTAGGAATAATTGAAGTACTACCCTATGCAAGATTTCTATATGTCTCAGAAGATCATGTGTGTGATGAACATTGGCCAAATGAAGAGACGAGGAAAGCTTATACACTGATCCTGTTCTTCTTACAATCTGTCATTCCTCTTAGCGCAATATCTTTCGCTTACACAATGGTGGGAATTGAACTAAAGAAAGGAAGCCGAAGAAGTGAGAATCGCATCTTGGAACGAACTAGAAACGAGGAATCAAAGAAAGTGATCAGAATGTTAGTAGTAATAACCGCGGCTTTTGCATTTTGTAACTTGCCTACATCTATCATGTGGCTAATTAACGACTTTAGCTCGACAAAAATATCGGAATTTGGGGATATTATTGCTTTTTTTAATATTTTGGATTTCGGTAACGCTGCCGTGAACCCTTGTATCTACCTAGCATGTAATGAAGATTTTCGAAGGGAATTTTGCCGATATCTCAGCAAAATGAAAGTAAAATTATTTTGGTCATCAGAAAGAACATTCTCAGCCGATTCAGCACCGAGTCATGACGGACATGAAACAGGGGAAGAACCATGTCTTGAGAAGACAGTAGCCTCGACACTTTTAAAACATGAATCATGCATGTGATATTTACACCGTTACAAATCATATATTCACATCATCTGTTTATACCTCCTACTGATGAAAATAATTAAAACTAATTATAAGCCTGAAGAATAAGGCTGTTGTGTCCTTTTTAATTTGTCGGCAAAGTTTTCTGACAAGCGAAGGCTGCCTTTCTAGGTATAGTTATACATGCACACATAATTCGGGTTCAACCCGAGTTAGTGTAAACCTCACCGCTAAAATTAAAGCGTTGGCACCTACTGAATTTCACTTTCCTCATCCCTAAAATTGCGCTATGAATTTATCGAGCTAATTTTTGGTTAATGACATATTGTGTCATCGTCAGATGACGTTTAGCACGTATTTTTCAAATGTTTTCAAGTATTGTTAAAACTCGGCACAATGAAGTGCATAAACATACATGTCAAACATACAGTGTTTTGACACTAATTATTGGAATTTTTTACACAATACACGAGATTCATCAGGAACTTTTTTGCTATAATCCAAAAGTTAAGCGTCAGCTTTGCATGTCACGTACACCATAGACAAACGAGAAGACAAAGATAATCTTCTGGATTGTCCATGCGTACATTTACGTTCTCAATTCTTTCCTTACATGCAGCTATAATTGCTTCCACACTATAAATTTGAAGAAGTTCGATCAACTTCAAAAGTGTTTATTCTGTCACTGTTTTTGGTCGGACAGAATAACACTTTGCGAGTTAATTCTCCTTGAAATTCATAGTGCATAACAAAATAACCAACATGACTAATCTTTTATTTTGACATAGAAAAAAATAGAAAATGTGTCTTCCACGGCTTAATTCTGGTTTTATCTGAAGGACTGGTATACTTTTACATCCTTATCGCAGCAATGTCCTAATCGAATAATCACGCGTAAAGTGGTTATACATTTCATATTTCGCCATTGCACTAAAATGAGAGAAATTGTGGAGTCAGCAGTAATTTTCATACGACAAAATACGAATCCCTATTCGAAATACGAATGTATTCTACTAACATTACTCACCGCCAAGCCTGCCAAACAGCCGGCAAACACTGCCAGCTACGTTCAGAAATAGTGGGAGTCCAGCCCTCATGGACATGATTAACAACAACACTTTGTAGAAGCTAGATTATTTTGGTAATTTTTGTTAAAAAAGGGCAACTACTGTACTTTTCCTATTTTAGACATTCTACTCTGCTATTTCCTATTTTCCACAAGTCCGCCGGCCTCACACCTCCCCTGATGAAAACACTAGACTGCATGGAGTGTTGAAACGTTGGGTCGTGAATTGAATTGAATTGAATTGAATTGAACTGAATGCGATTCGACTGGACTTTGCACATACTTACAACTTAAGTTGTGATAGCTAAGCTACGTTGTCATAAGTGAGTTGTGTGCTTGATTTACACAGTACAATTCATGTTGTAAGCAGGTTGCATGCGACAGTTTTAGGCAAAAGTTGTATAGACAGTGTATATCGGTCTTAAAAATTACATAAGTTGAAAAGGACTTTGCGAAAGTCACTGAAGTGCTTTACTGCCTGCATACAAAAGCAAAAACATAAAGTTTCAATAAGGCCTACTAACAAGAAAGTTTTCACGTTAAACTGATTTTCACATAATATTAGAAAATCGGATCTTTCTAAAAAATCAGGATCGGGAGGAACCCCACATCTGGTTAATTTTTTCTGGAAAGGTTGGTAAGTGCCCTATAGTTGGGTATCATCACTTTTTTTATTTGTTTGTTTACTTAACAACCTTTTACATGCAGGAACAAATAATAGATACTAAATTTAAGAATATTGATACACATAGATGAAGGAAACATAAAGTTGAAGGTATAGTCAACAGGACAAGAATTTCACATCAAGACCAACCTAGGAAAGAAAAGAACAATAGTTATATAACATATATTTAAAGACACAAACACACATTTGCACACAGAGCAACAAGTTGGGTTGTAGGAACGACACTTGGAACAATAAGTCTTCCAAGTGTGCATTCTAATTGACGTCATATAGATTCAAGCTTGGAAAGGTGGTGGTGACAATACAGATTGTGTTTGAAAAGAAAATAGAGGTACATTCAATGATATGAACGGGAAGATAGTTCCAAAGAAAAATAATCCGGTTGAAAAACGACCTCTAAAAAAACAAGTTCTGCAAAGATTAGGAGTTAGTAAGTAACATCTGTTGGTTGAACGAGTGCCAGAGACAGAGTTTGAAGAGAAAGTGACAAAAGTAGAGACATCTAGATAACAAATTAAGACCTTGCAAATACTTGAAAAATAATAGAAGGTCCTTTACTTCCAGCCAATTGAGTGTTGGACAAAAAA